AAACATGCCCAACCTTTACTCACATTCGAGAAAACACTCCCAATAAGATTGCTTGCTCCAAAATCGAAGAGGCACCGTCCTCCGAATCTCGAGAGCCAGACTCCCAACATGACTACTTTCTTAAAAATCGAAGAGAGGGTAAAGGAACAGTACCATTGCTGGATAATTGGAAAGTCCCTGTGTGTCAACCTCTGTGCTTCGTGGCAAGGTAGACTAGCAAACATGCCCAACCTTTACTCACATTCGAGAAAAACACTCCCAACAAGATTGCTTGCTCCAAAATCGAAGAGGCACCGCCCTCCGAATCTCGAGAGCCAGACTCCCAACATGATTACTTTCTCAAAAATCGAAAGAGACTGCTCCCCGAATCTTCGAGAGCCAGACCCCCAGCATGATTGCTTTCTCAAAAATCGATGAGGCATCGTTCTCCGAATCAATCGAAGAGGCGCTCGCTTTCTCAAAAGCTGGGCTGCTCAGAGACCACGAGGGCCGATCTCAGAAATCGAAGAGGCACCTACTTTTTCTAGCCTTGTCAGCACCTGTCACACGCACACTCAGCTTTGCAGAAATTATGGGCATTCTGTCGAAGACTTCTGGTGAAGTAGAAAGCACATGAATCTTACTGTTCAATCACCCACTTCCCACACGCAACAATAGCTCATGGGTACCACAGATAACTTTGCCAAAGTTCTCTGCCAAAGTTGAGCACGTGAAGCTTGCAGCTCCCACTACATCGCTCTGACCAAGAAAGGTAAAAGAATAGCAAAGAAACAGCACTAACAAAGTTTAGACACATAAATTTTGAAGGTCTAGCTACCATATTATTACCCACAAGGGTAAAGGAACAGTACCACTGCTGGATAATTGGAAAGTCCCTGTGTGTCAACCTCTGTGCTTCGTGGCAAGGTAGACTAGCAAACATGCCCAACCTTTACTCACATTCGAGAAAACACTCCCAACAAGATTGCTTGCTCCAAAATCGAAGAGGCACCGTCCTCCGAATCTCGAGAGCCAGACTCCCAACATGACTACTTTCTCAAAATCGAAGAGAGGGTAAAGGAACAGTACCATTGCTGGATAATTGGAAAGTCCCTGTGTGTCAACCTTTGTGCTTCGTGGCAAGGTAGACTAGCAAACATGCCCAACCTTTACTCACATTCGAGACAACACTCCCAACAAGATTGCTTGCTCCAAAATCGAAGAGGCACCGCCCTCCGAATCTCGAGAGCCAGACTCCCAACATGATTACTTCCTCAAAAATCGAAGAGACACTGCTCTCCGAATCTCGAGAGCCAGACCCCCAGCATGATTGCTTTCTCAAAAATCGAAGAGGCATCGTTCTCCGAATCTCGAGAGCCAGATACCACAGACCACTTTTTTCAAAGTGCTCTGACAGAGTTAAAACATGTGAAACTGGCAGCTCCCACTACCGTGCTATGACCAAGCAGGGTAAAGGAATAGCATTACTACTTGTTGTTAGGGAGACTCCTATATATGTCGACCTCCATCCCCAACGGACAGGCAGACCTGCAAAAATGCTCAACCCTTCATCATATCTGAGAGGGCACTCCCAACGAAGCCTTTCGAAATATTCAGCTTTCTTTCCCCCCGATAATACCTCTGCAAACAAGCTATACTAGAGCAAGAATATCTCATATCATCAGGGTTAAAAGCAAGAGTATCCCATATCATGCTTTTTCCCTGTCTTTTCCTTTTGGCCTTGTTTTTACCTGCAAGACAAGGAGAAAGAGAGCAATCAGTCAGCACTTGGAATCAAGCTTCCAGCCAGGAACTGACTGCCTGGAACCCCTTACCTGATTACTTACCTGGCATTGCTCTCGAGTACTCATCTTCAACATCTTATGTTTCCAGGGAAGATTCCGCATCTGCTTGAGGAACAGATAGGGCAAGTGCGAAGGATACAAGGAAGCATGTGGAGACAAGCGTAACAGCACACGTGCCGATACATCCATTACTCTGTCAAAAGCAAAAGTATCCCATATCAGCAGGGTGGAACGTACTCTAGATTTGATGGACTTGTTTTGACCCTCAAATTCTTCAGTCGGCCTTATACTCTGGAGGAAACCAGAAAACCCTCCAGCTCAGTTCAAGAATAAGCCTGTGTGGAAAGTTACTTCTTCAAAAGCAAAAGTATCTCATATCATCTCTTCTCATTTTTCTTCTCTTTATCCTTCATGCTGCTGCAAGATGGGGAGAAGGTGAACAATCAGTCGGAGCTCTGATTGCTTACCTTGTCTGTCACCTCTTTCAGCAGACCCCCTAGCTCGGCGACTTGGGGGACTCCTACTACATGGTTTGTATCGCGCTTGACCAAGCCTGAAACTACAAGTAAGCTTCAAGTGAAATTGATACATTACCTTGTGCATCTCCACCAGTTAAAGATACCACCCCTGGATGGAGGAAGAGTACTTCCAGAGAAGATGCCACATCTACCTATGAGACAGATAAGGCAAGTCAAGACAACACCACACTCCGATACTTAGAAGTTTCGTGATTACGAGATCATTCTCCCATAATATTTCCTAATGTCATTTGTAATAAATCATTCACTTGTACTCACTAAAGGAGAGCTTGAACCTATGTACTTGTGTAAACCCTTCACAATTAATGAGAACTCTCTTCTATTCCGTGGACGTAGCCAATCTGGGGTGAACCACGTACATCTTGTGTTTGCTTTCCTATCTCTATCCATTTATATACTTATCCACACTAATGACCGGAGCAATCTAGCGAAGATCACAAAAAGCGACCGTTTTCGCTACCTATGATCTATCTTGCAAGAGAACGGAGAATTAGATGGAGATCTCAACCATAGAATACGAGCTGGATGGATGAAGTGTAAGAGTGCATCCGGCGTGTTGTTGTGTGACCGTCGTAGGCCACTGAAGCTCAAGGGAAAATTTTATAGGACGGCAATAAGGCCAGCGATGTTGTATGGCACAGAATGTTGGGCGGTGAAGCATCAACACGTACACAAAATGGGTGTAGCGGAGATGAGGATGCTTCGTGGGATGTGTGGGCACACGAGAAATGATAAGATTGGGAATGAGGATATCCGAGGTAAAGTAGGAGTAGCCGAAATTGTAGGAAAGATGAGAGAAAATCGGCTCTGGTGATTTGGACATGTGCAAAGAAGGCCGACTGACGCTCCGGTTCGAAGATGTGACTATGGGACAGAGGTTCAGAGCCGAAGGGGTAGAGGAAGACCTAGGAAAACTTTGGAAGAGACTCTAAGAAAAGACTTAGAGTACTTGGATCTAACGGAGGACATGACACAAAACCGAGCGTAATGGCGTTCTAGGATTCATATAGCCGACCCCACTTAGTGGGAAAAAGCTTTGTTGTTGTTGTTGTTGTTGTTCGTGACGTTGACTAGCACAAAATACTATGTACTCCGTAATCGTCTCAGCTTATCAACTTTGTGAATACTACAACCAAGAAAACATGTATACTCTTTTTGGAAAAGTTTAATTACCTCTGGGGTATAAACCTCCACCGCTTGCTGCAACATTTCTACATTTGCTAATAATATAGGATTAGGCTCCAACATCTTGAAATCAGCAAGTAGTTCTTGATATCTTCGATCTGCTAACACTCTCTTAGAATGCTCAAAGAATCGTAGAAAATTATGTTTAGGTAGACATTATTGTTCATAGATTCACTATGTGCTCTTCATGTTCGCAGTGAAAGTATGTTTAGGCAAATTTCATATTTTTCGATATGAGTCTGAACATGGACAAAGAGTACTACTACGACGATATGAGTCTTAGTAACACTATGGTTGTATTAGTTTTCTGTTAAGATGCCTTAATTGGCTTATTCTGCATTTTCATGTCTAATTAGTTACCAATGTTTTACTTTTCCTGTGTTTTGTAAATCTTTTGTAATGAGTTATTATTATTTTTTATTTCACAGTTTGGCGGGTCATAAAAGTTGTGTTTTGAAGAATTTATTGTAAAGATGATTGGTTATATGTTGTTTGTACGTTTCCATGTTTCATCAAATTAGTAGAAGATTAAAATTATGTCTGTAATACTGTGTGTATAATTTCATTCGTTGTATTATGATTGAGTTCGTAATTGGAAAATCTTGCAGCTTAGGTTTTCGATTGTAATTTTCATAAATATGGGATTGTGTAAATTCATAATGTTTTGTATATCTGATTTTTTATTGAACACGACACATTTATGTTTGAACAATATAGTAGAGAAGATTACATAGACAAGAAAGAAGATAAGGCACCTCAACAACCCAATGTGAGAAGAATGAACACCTCATAGCGTACCATCTAGCATATCTATTAAATATATATGTACCTAAGCTTTTGTATGTAAATAGTATTTACAGTTGTACATACATTCAAGTAGTATCTTTTGTACGTAAATAGTATTGTACATAAACTTTTAGTATAATTTTCAATCCTGCAACATTGCATGGGCATCATTTGCTAGTTACTATAGTCTAAAGATGACAAGGAAATTGACACTATACATAAGCTACAGTAAAAAAATACTTTGATGTTGATTTCCTTACCAAATTGCCATTCTACCCAAATTTTTGCTTTGTTACGGATTTGCAGGCCAAATTTTTATCTTTGTTATGGATTTGCCAGGTTTCAAAGGGCCAGACAGAGGCCTAGAGGGCTGGACCAAAACGGCGCAGTTTTGAAACAATTAAATTACTCTTTTGCCAGTTTGGATTTCAGATCGGACGGGCAGGGGTGAAGATTATGGGGCTAGTTTTGTCATTGCACGTTTGGGGTTTGGGGGGCATGTTGTCCGCTTCGTTGGATGGGCTTGAGCCATTGAGGGAGTTGTTGCAGACGAGAGAAGAAGATAGAGAGAGAGAGGGAGAGGAGGAGAGATCTTGCAGACAGGCAGAGGTGCAGCAAAGCAAGCAGCGGTATGGGCTGCACAGAGAGAAGGAGAGAGAGATATGTTGAGTTTAATTTTGGCATTTTGGTTCTCCGGTTCTTAATTCTTTACCCTTTATGTTTGTGCTGCTTTTGGATTCAATTCGAATCAAATAACGTAGTTGGTCTTGATATGAATTCTCTCCACAACAATAATTAGGGGTTTTTGTTTAAATTATCACTGATTTGCTTTGATTTGGCTTTGAATCTTTGTTAATTTGGACTGCAGGTGGTTCTGATATGGAGGAGAAGCTTCAAGAGCTTATGATCTTGCCGACTTAAGTACGGTCCTTCTTCAACTCATATAAACTTTCGGGTACGGTTCAAACTCTTAAGAGTTTTATGATTTTGCAAAATCATGTCTGCAGATGTTATCTCTTTAGTTGCAGTTGCATCATTAAACTATACCACTGAATTTACTTAGAAAATATGTAGACCACTCTCTGAAATGCAAGATAGATGAACTCGGTCAAAACTTAAAAGATTGGACGCTAACATGATCTGACATCCTCAGCGGTACCAATTTAATCGATAAATTGATGAGGCCACCAATACATTTACACCTTCAACTGATGCAATATTACGTTCACTTGTGTGAGAGATGTCAATAGTTAAGTACAGCGACTTCCAAAGGCTGTTGATATTTGTAAAATCCGAAGAACTAAACCTAATAGAAGAAGAAACTTCACTTTGAAAATAAGGATCTAATATGGTAGGGAAGATATAATATTTTGACAAATTAAAACAAAGCAATCACATAATTAGTAGTTCACGCAAAAGTTAATGAGGAGTTCACGCATAACACGACTTTAGGAACAGCTAGGACCAATTTTAATGCAAGAGAACATTTCATACTTCATGAATCAGTGACCTAAATTTTTCTCGAGTACTCAATCTATGCATAAATGGGGGTAAGGCTAGCCGACATTCACCTCTCCCAAACCTGCGTAAAGCGGGAGCCTTGTGCACTAGGTACTCAATCTATGCATAAGATACTACAAATAAGAGCACAGTTCAAACCAAATGCAGGGCAACAACGTGCATTCTATTCCACAAATTAATTCCTAAAAATGAAAATCTGTCATAAAATCAGAACGGTGTTTGATCTCATCGTCCTAAATCTAACAGACACCATCAATCTCAAAGAAATAATAAACCACATGATTGACATTCTCTCTTTCGAAATAGCTAATTCATTTAAATTCTTATACTAAAAAATATAGTGAAAAGATGTTTACAAAGCATATACATAACACATATTATAAGACATTGATACTAAGTATCATCTGCTGTAGTCAATCTGGTAAAAACTTGACAAAACTCAGTATCTACATGCATTTAATCATAGACAAGCTGGGGCAGTCTCCATCTTCATTACATTTTTACTACTGTTTGACCATTGGGAATATTGGAGAAGGTTTGCTGGCATGAAAAACCTCTAACCATACAAACAGTCTCTTCTTTATTGAAAAGCTTTGGAAAAAAAAAAGTGAAGAATATTTTATCCCAATTACAATTGGAATGATCAGCTTTATCTTTTTCATGTTTTTTTTTTTTTAGAACCAAAAGAAAAACAATAAGGTTTAGGTTAAATCAACATGCCGGTTAATGTAAGAGACTTTGTCCCATCAATCAGTCTGAGGTGCATCTTCTAAATCATCAAAATCCTCACTGACACTCAAACATATAAGCGAACTAGAGCCATTGCAACTTTTGTTAACATATACTTCCGCATTTGCCATTTTGATTGTATATTGATTCTTGATGTCAACTTAATAGAATATTGATGCAAACTGAACTGCTTATTTTATCGCATTGATTCACCTATCTCTTGGTTTTTCAATTATTTGGAGATGACTGGATTAATTTGTGATTTTGTGGGAATTACTCAAGTAAAATGTGCATTGTCTAATTACTGCATTTGAGAATGCGATTGTATTGCTGCAGCCTTTTGAGTGAATTTTGCTGTAGATATTATTCATAACTGTTGTCGATTATAGTTTGAAAACCTGATACAGAGAGCGGACATTTTTCTAGTAATACCCAAAGCCCAAATCTCTTTTTCCTCCTATTCCCAATTCCTTTTTTCCTTCCATCCGCAACCCACCAACCCTCCACAGATCCACCACCTGCTCCACCACCTGCTCCACCTCTCTCCTGTCCACCACCACCGAATTTCTTAATTTCTATTTTGCATTTTTGATAATGTCCTAATTTTTAAATTTAAATAAGCTTTCTAATCTTAGCCCAAATTAATAATACAGGATGCTATTGAAAAAGATATATAATGGATGAAACTTTTTGAATTTCCAATAGATTATAGTTATTGCTATGCTTATTAGATGTCATTTATGATTTTTTACTATTTGATTTGATCATTTGTTAGTTATATATATATATATATATATATATATATATATATATGTTTATTAACTGATATGATTTTTTGTTTTAATAATTGATATGTGTAGAAATTAGAAGTTTGGAATGATATTAACACGTGAAAACATTATCGATTAGTTTGGTCAATATTATTTCTCATAGTTTAACTCCAATTTTGGATGGTTCTGATCCGATTTTGGATAATTCAAGTCCAATACTAGGACCACCCAATGTTAGAAGTCTGGATCCGCCATTGCCACGAGGCGCTCGTAAGATGTTCCTGGTTTTGAGCCTAATCGGAATCTGCCAAGGTCGGGGGAGGGGGGCACTTATCCAGATCTCCAGCGTTTTGGGAGTGGCTCAGATTTCATTTAGATATATGTTATCAAAGACATGTTCCTTTGTAAACTTATTCAGCGTTTTGTAAATCCACATTTTTGTTTTGTTTGAATAGATAATTAAGTCCTTGAATGCAACTGTTGTTAGAACATTATTATTTTTATCTGCATCAAATATGAATTTCGAACTTCCGACAAGCAATTGAAGTTAAATCTTAATCAAAGCAAACAACTGAAGTACTTAAAACAGAACACATCGTGTCCTAGTAGCTTATTACACATTATAAAGACCAACATAAAACATCACGCATAATAAGAATACTATATGAGTTAAGTACATTTTTTCGAATCAAATTTTTCTTTGCAACCGAGCCACTTTCAATACAACTGCTAATGCTACTTTGTCTTTCATATCATCAAAGAAACGAAAATACGCATACCTCCATGACTTCTTTACGATTAATGTGCCACAAACTCCCCAAAAGCCTGTGATAAAGCCGAGTGTGATACTGACATAGAGCCAAAGCTTTCCATTATTGTCTTCATCTTTATTATCTCCGGCATCACTAGAGGGAAAAGACGGTGTTTCATCTCCCGGGCACTTAGTTGAAAGAGGAACCCCACAGAGTAATGGATTGCCTTCATAAATGGAAGAGTCCTCAAGCGTCTGGAGTTGGTTGCCCGAAGGAATTCTTCCAACCAAGTTGTTGAAAGACAAGTTCACATGAGCCAAGAGCGATAAAGATGAGTAACTCTGAGGAATTTGTCCCGAAAGACGATTGTGTGAGAGATCAAGAGTTTCCAACCAACGCAAATTTCCAATCGTTGAGGGAATGTTCCCCCTTAACTGATTTCTTGACAAGTTCAATGTTCCCAATGCAATGAGGCTGGTCATTTCTTTAGGAATTTCTCCTTCTAAATTATTTGATGAAAGATCAATGCTATAAACCCATTTCAAAGCAGTGATGTAATAAACGAGTTCGCTTCCTTTCGCCGTGACTGTTGTTTGGATCTCATAATATATAGGGTCTGAATAATTATCGGATGGAGAGAAAGTCAAAGCAGTCAAATTCTTCAAACACTTGGGAATAGTCCCTGAAAGATTGTTATGGCCAAGGTCTAGGATGTGAAGGCAGGGAAGATTGCAAAGATGGCGCGGGATATGTCCACTTAAAAAGTTGGAGTGCAAACGCAGCGTATTCAACTTGGAGTAGTCTGATCCGATCCATAAAGGAACACTTCCGGTTAATTTGTTGCCCCCAAGATCAATACTGAGCAAAGAAGTTGCATTTTTCAACTCGATAGGAATTTCGCCATCAAAATTGTTGTTGTTCATCTTCAATATATATAGAGAACTCGGGACACCCATTGAACTCGGAATATTACCAGATAGGTTATTGTCTGCCACATCAACAACCCATATATCATGCCACACACTCCATGTTTTTGGGAATTCTCCGTAAAACTGATTGCTCCTTAGGGACAGGATTCTCAAGTTCTGCATGTCGCATAGAGAGGATGGAATTGTACCATTCAAGTGATTCTCCGCAAGATTCATCTCTCCTAATTTGGGCATCAGTTGTCCGAAATTTGAAGGAATAGGCCCGGAAAAACTATTATTTTTGAGATAAAGAAAAGTGGCATCAGAAGATAAATGTGGAAGTGGACCTTCAAATTGATTATGACTCAAATCCATATACTCTAAATTTGGAAATTTGAGTTGGGATTGAAGCTTTCCGCGGATTTGGTTGCGCGATAAATCCAAACTTGCAACTTTGGAAGATAAGTTGAAGAACCATTCCTCTGGTATAGAATCTGAGATTCTGGTACGACGAAGGGTGACATCAAGTAGCTCAGTTTGAGATTGAAGCCATACAGGAAATGCAGGACCTACACTACAATTTGTAATGTCAATTGTGTGGAGCTGGAAGGGGGGAATCCACTCATAACTCACATTGAAAATGAGCGGCATAGCTCCATCCGTGGACAGAGAAAGATATTGCAGTCTTGTGAGATTTATGAAATGAGTTTCTGTTAAAATGCCTTCCCATGAATTCCCATACAAAGCCAGGTGAACTAGCTCAGAGAGTTGGCCCAAACTTTCGGGAATAGATCCGTTCATGTTGTTGTCCCGAAGGTTTAGACTTTTCAAGGATGACAAGTTTCCAACAGAAGTTGGAAACGAGCCCCAAAACAAGTTGCCTCCGAGGTGAAGGTGCTGCAAGTTTGTTGGAACTCTTAAGGAGTCGGACAATTCTGTTGCAAACTGATTGAAAGACAAATCTAGTGACTCTAATATGTTATTTGTGCAATTTGAGAAACCACTCAAAAGCTCTTGAAACCCCCCATCAAATTTGTTGAAAGCGAGGTTTAAGGTCTTTAGATTGCAAAAGTTTCCAAGGAGTTTGGGAATTCTACCTTTGAGATGATTAGAAGATAAATCAAGGTGTTTAAGAGATTCGAGGCTTGCAAGTTGGGGAGGAAAATGACCGGTGAAAGAATTTTCACTTAGGTCAAGTGTTTGGAGGTTAGTAAGGTTGAAAATGCTTTTGGGAAATTCAGATTCACCCCCAGATGATGCAGAGGAGATGTTGAGATATCTCAAAGTTGGAAGTTGGCAAACAATGTGAATCCCTTGGAAATTATTCAAACTTAGGTCTAGGTAGCTCAAATGTTTCAAGGTAAGCAAGGATGAAGTTACCTTACCTGCCAACTGAGACCTTTTATACTTCTTCTCCCACTCTTCATAACTTCTAAACTGATCTGGATAAGTATTACGGAGGTCAATTTTTGTAGCATGACCAGTGCGGTTGTCGCACGAAATCCCTTCCCATTGACAGCAATCGTGACCAACCCAAGAAGATAGCCGACCGGACTGATCGGTGAGGTGTTGTTTAAAGCTGAGAAGTGCTCCTCTCTCTTCCTCGATGCATGATTTTGAAGTGAGTGAAAGATATGAAGAGGCCAAAACTAGAAAGAGCAAAATGTTGAGGTGAAAAGTAGGGTTGAATAAGCAAGCATGGAACCTACCCATTTTTACCAAGTTTTTCTTTTTTGTTGCAGATGGCTGGCTACTGAGGTGAGGATACAAGCCAATATATAAGAAGCTGAAGTCAATGACCTCTGCCTTCTTTTTTGTACGGTACACTTCTCACTTTTCCAGTCAATGACCTCTGCTGACCAAAATGCCCTCCCCCCAAAGTCTAAAATCTCATAACCACCCCTAAGAACTCAAGGACATCTCAGCCGTTGATCCTCAAAATGACAAAGACCACCATCATCGACATCGACGGCAGGAACAGTGTCCTACAAAGCAAGGGCAGGTGGACTACGAAACGGTGGTGCGTGGGCCCTTACTCCCAGACCCGGGTAACTGTATTTGATTTTGAATTTCTCACACTTTTTGTTTTTATTTTCTATAATAATTTTGAATAATAATACAATTTAGGGGAATTAAAATAAAAAGATGGCTACTCGGAATAACTGTCGATGCTGTCCATTCCCTTGAGTCCCTTTCTCTTTTGCTGCACATGCAAGCCAACCAAATCACCACAAATGTCAACCAAAATATTATGATACCTTTACCATTTTATCTACTTATTTGTTGAGGAATATCTATTTGTCTTTTCTTATATCAGTTGTTATACGTATTACACTAATAAAGTAAACTACATAATTCATACTTTTAAGATGAAATAGTAGAATTTGTGATTTCAATGCATTAATTATGTAATTTAACTTACTAGTGGAATATGCGTGTCAAGTGATTTCAATTCCACTTCTTTGTTATATTAAATTTTGTATACTTGGCATAAAACAGATAAAAGAAAATTTGGAGTTATTAGGTGTTACAAACAAATCAAAATTTGAGAACTAGTCATGCTCATGCATTGTATTTTAGGAATTAAAAGAGGAAGGTTCTTTTTTTATCCAAAATTGTTTATAAGATTGACATAACTCCTTACTCTCATCCCTGATATTTAAAATATAAATTGTCCTAAGATTGCCCACTATTCCATGAGGTTGTTAAATTGAGGATATTTTTGTCAAATCAACTCTTCCTCTTGAACTGGTAGTTTCTTTAATTTACGAAAGATTTTTTTACTAAAATACCAAAATAATTAACGATGGACAATCTCAAATACCACTTTTATCGGTTTTAAATCTCAAAGATTAAAATTAGGAGTTATAATAATTTCAGAGACCACTGTAAAAATCAACTCTTGACACACCCCGTCCCGAAGGAGGGCATGCTGGCCGTCACGTGAGAGTGACGTAACCATTTGCACAGTACGGAAGCTTTAAGATACAATTTATAAGTTGATACACCCGAAGGTGAGTCCTAATTTTGTCCAATCTGTCAGAACACCGTCGAATTCCTCGTAGTCACCACACCTTTGTGATTCCTGAACCTGGAGGGGCGCAAAACCAAAATTGAGTGGGTCAGTAAAACAATTCTTTTCCAAATCCAAACATTTCTCAAAACGTTGTACCCCTCTCCGTAAAACTTGTATACTTTCCCAAAAATGTAAAATATAAATATACATATATATTCTCAAAACTTCATTTTTACTATCTCAACATTTTTCTTTATCAATCATGCCATGCCATGTCTAATTCAACAGTTAAGTATGGATGCATCAACAATAATCATATCAGGTGCAAGAAAGTAATCAACCGGAGGCCCTCTAATAGCCCTGTACGGTTGAACCTAGAGCTCAAAATCTATCACTCTCACTCTGCCGGAGTCACCTCTGTGACCTGTCCGGCCTTCTGCACATAAGTCGGAACCACCTAATGTAGTCTGTACGACTCAATGGTTAATATTACGCTCTAGTGCTTCTCTCATCAATCATCTGTGCACATAATCTAAGGTCACCCACCAGTCGAAATCTCACTAACACTCTACGACTGGTCCGTCACACCCACTCCGCGTGGACTGTGCGACCAGCATTTACTTGGATCCAAGGCGAGCGTGCGATGCGGTGAATACTATAAGCACTAAACCATGGTGCAGGATTTGAGCTCAATATACATCAACATCATCATAACAGTAATTAAATACTCACCTGTGCGTCCGCCGCACCATTCATTCATATGCATCATATAACAATTCATATCATTTCATGCATGGCAATTCGATTCACGTTTATCATATAATTCTATATACTTTTCGCATACTTCTATGCATGGCATTTCAACTAATATTTCTCATATACTTTTATACATTTTCATTTAAAGCATAATTTCATGCATTTTCAATTTCTGGGAAAACGGCAAGTATATATGTATACGGAATACAAAACTGCCCACTCACAGAATACATCGACGTGTCGAAGGTCCCTGAGCCTCCCTTAGCCATGCCCAATGTCCGTATAATCCTCGCCTATACGAGAAGTAACCAAATTGACGTTATTTAACGCATAATCCCACTCTTAGCTAATAACTCCTCATATATTGCTCAAATTGGGTATATGAATATACCACTATGACCTACACAACCTCAGGATCATCCCCATATTTTTAAAATAATTTTTGGAGGTCTCACGCGCCCCCACGCGCCTGACGTGGCACGGACCTACGCGCCCCCACGCGCGGCCACGTGCCGTGCACACTGACGGCACAGTAACGGCAGTTAGGGAATATTCCGTTAAATCCTAGCATATTCCGTTAAATAATTAATGGCGTCAGTCAACGCCGTTAGCATATTCCGTCAAAACTGACGGAATATTCCCTGTCTTCTCCGGCGAGTAGCCGGTCATCGGCGACTGTTCGCCGGTTTCTGGAAAAATTTCAAACTTGCTATTCTCCTTCGTTTTTCATCCATTTTTCACGTAATTTATACCAAATTGAAGCCCTAAACATCTACTATCGCGTTGGACTAGTTTTAAGGCCTAAAAACAACGGGATCAAACTTTTCAAAAAATTCAAGAAATCGGCCAAACTTACAGTTCGTGATCCCGACGTCCAAATCATGCCAACGAAGCACTCCGAGCTTCCTTGGGACTTTCTAAAGCTCGTTGTGATCTTGTTTAGCCTAAAACGTAACCATTTAAAAGATCATGAACAGTACATAAACACGGGACCTTAAAAACTAGGGTTTCCCGAAGTAGAACTTACCTGAAATGGATACCATCGTGCTCGTGAAGTCTTCAGGGTTCCAATGGTGGTCTTAGATTCGTCGTTGGTATAGATTTAGGGTGGTTTTGTGGTGGTCCGTGTGAGTTCGAAGGAGAGGGAGAGAGAACTGAGAGTTTCGTGAGGGAGGAGAGAGAAAGAGACAATGTTACGGGTTATGGGGAGGGTTTTGAGGTGTGGGGATCCCACGTGTCCAACCCAATCCCAATTTCATAAATTCCAACATAAAAATCCAAACTTAAGCCTAGTTTAAGTTCCTAAAACCAAATAACTTAGGAACTTTAAGTAAAATCAATTGTTAAATTTTCGCCCCTTAGTCCCGTTTAAGGGCATTTTCGTCTTTTCACGTCCTCGGAATTAAAATTCCGGGACGGGCTGTGACAACTCTTCCTCTTAAACTGATAGTTTCTTTAATTTAACAAAGATTTTTTTACTAAAATACCATAATAATTGACAGTAGACAATCTCAAATACCACTTGTATCGATTTTAAATCTCAAAGATTAAAATAAAGAGTTATAATAATTTCAGATATCGGTTTAACTAAAAAGCCAAAGAGGAATAACATGTCATTAACACTAAAAAAAATGGAATGTCAAAATACACTTCCATAAATAAATCAAATACAGGCTGTTTTTCACTTGTCACCACCATAAGAAATAATATTATTAATGTTGGTATGAAAAGACAATGTTAAATATTATTATTCTCCACTTTAAGCACCTAATTATTTCCTCCACCAAGAAAACAAAAAGTGAATGACAATAAGTCGAAAACTTTTGAGCAATGTGAATTATATACGAATACCTTACATGAATTGTGTCTATCGTTGAAGTTACAGTTTAATAACACATTATCATGTGTACATTTTTTATTCACATACATTTTTTAACTGAAAATCAACGGTAGCATTGAACCCGTTTCATAGAACACCTGACCTCAAATCTAGTTGGAACTTGTTCTCTAGCAAAAATGTATTCCCTTTTCCATATTAATGAAGGTGTGTGTGGAAATTTAAAATTTATAAAAAACTGAGGAAAAAGACAAAAGAGAAAAACACCAGGAAAGAGCAGTATATTACCTTCTTCACACATTTCTTCTCCCTGACCTCATATCGATTCCTTGTCAAGTCAGATAGCCACATCCCTGGAAAACAATACTGCCACCCAAAATATATATTTTTGACTTTCCGGTACGGTTCAAATTCTTAAGACTTTTATGATTTTGTGAAATCATGTCTGCAGATGTTATCTCTTCAGTTGCAGTTGCATCATTACATTATACCACTGAATTTACTTAGAAAATATGTAGACCACTCTCTGAAATGCAAGATAGAGGAACTCGGTCAAAGCTTAAAAGCTTGGACCCTAACATGATCTATCTGACATCCTCAGCGGTACCAATTTAATCGATAAATTGATGAGACCACCAATACATTTACACCTTCAACTGATGCAATATTAAGCGTTCACTTGTGTGAGAGATGGCGATAGTTAAGTACACCGACTTCCAGAGGCTGTTGATATTTGTAAAATCCAAAGAACTAAAACTAATAGAAGGGGAAACTTCACTTTGAAAATAAGGATCTAATATGGTAGGGAAGATATAATATTTTGACAAATTAAAACAGAGCAATCACATAATTAGTAGTTCACGCGAAAGTTAATGAGGAGTTCACGCATAACATGACTTTAGGAACAGATTTTAATGCAAGAGAACATTTCGTACTTCATGAATCAGTGACCTAAATTTTTCTCGAGCGCTCAATCTATGCATAAGATACTACAAATAAGAGCACAGTTCAAAACCAAATGCAGGGCAACAATGTGCATTCTATTCCACAAATTAATTCCTAAAAATGAAAATCTGTCATAAAATCAGAACGGTGTTTGATCTCATCTTCCTAAATCTAACAGACACCATCAATCTCAACGAAATAATAAACCACATGATTGAAGTCAATCTGGTAAAAACTTGACAAAATTCAGTATCTACATGCATTTAATCAGAGACAAGCTGGGGAGTCTCCATCTTCATTACATTTTTACTAATCTTTGACCACTGGGAATATCGGAGACCGTTTGCTGGCATGAAAAACCTCTAACCATACAAACAGTCTCTTCTTTATTGGAAAGCTTTGGAAAAAAAATAGTGAAGAATATTTTATCCCAATTACAATTGGAATGATCAGCTTTATCTTTTTCATGTGTTTTTTTAGAACCAAAAGAAAAACAATTAAGGTTTAGGTTAAATAAACATGCCGGTTAATGTAAGAGACTTTGTCCCATCAATCAATTTGAGGTGCATCTTCTAAATCGTCAAAATCCTCACCGACACTCAAACATATAAGCGAACTGGAGCCATTGCAACTTTTGTTAACATATACATCCGAATTCGTCATTTTGAGTGTATATTGATTATGGATGTCAACTTAATAGAATATTGATGCAAACTGAACTGCTTATTTTATCGCATTGATTCACCTATCTCTTGGTTTTTCAATTATTTGGAGATGACTCTATTAATTTGTCCTTTGGACTAATCTGATTGTGATCTTCAGTAAGTGTTGTGGCGGGAACCTTTGAATTCGGACTTGGTTTATCACACCCCCGCAAGCTGAGCGGTCGCCGGCGAACGGGAAGCTTGGATAAAAGATAGTTGAAACGATGAGTAGACAGACCTTTAGTCAAAAAATCAGCAACCTGATCTTGAGTAGCTACATAGCTCACCTGAAGTTCACCACGAGTAACCTTGTCACGAATATAATGATAGTCAACTTCCACGTGACGGGTCCGTGCATGAAAAACAGGGTTAGAGGCAAGGGAGATAGCAGAAATATTATCACACCACACCTTTGGAGGAGACAGATGAAGATACATGTCTTTAAAAAGTTGACGAAACCATGAAAGAGTAGCTGCAGTTATGGCAAGTTGGCGATATTCGGATTCTGTGCTAGAGCGAGACACTCCTTTTTGTTTCTTAGAACTCCAGGACACAAGGTTTGGACCAAGAAATATACAAAACCCGCCAGTGGATTTGCGATCATCGGGGTCTCCTGCATAATCAGAGTCGGCAAAGGCAGTGAGGGTGAGAGGGCCAGGTTTGTACACAAGGCCATGATCGAGAGTGGACTTCAAATAGCGAAGGATGCGTTTAACAGCAATCCAGTGTGTGGTGGTTGGTTGATGCATGAACTGGCAAACTTGGTTGACAGAGAAGGCAATATCAGGGCGGGTGAAAGTAAGATATTGGAGTGCACCCACCACACTCCTAAACTCGGTGATGTCTTGTAAGGGTTCGCCATCATATAAGCTGAGGCGTTTGCCACTAACTGCAGGAGTGGAGACCGGTTTACAGTCCACCATGTTGGTACGTTGAAGCAAATCAGAAATATATTTAGACTGTGAGAGATGAAGACCATGACTGGAGCGATGAACCTCCATACCCAAAAAATACGTGAGAGGACCAAGATCTTTCATTGAAAAAACCGAGCCCATGTCCTTGATCAAGGAGTTGATACACTGAATGTTGTTGCCTGTGATAAGTATGTCATCGACATAGATTAATAAGTAAATACGAATTAAACCATGACAGTACACAAAGAGAGATGAGTCAGCTTGGGAGGCCACAAAACCAAGATGTTCCAGATGATTAGAAAAACATTGGAACCATGCCCTAGGGGCCTGTTTAAGGCCATACAACGATCTGCGCAATTTACAGACATGTGTGGGATATTGAGGATCAACAAAACCAGTGGGTTGTTTCATGTAAACTTCATCAGATATGGAACCATGTAAAAACGCATTCTGAACATCCAGTTGACGTATAGGCCATGAAAAATGAACAGCCATAGCAATAATAAGCCGAATGGTTGAGTGGGTCACCACGGGACTAAAAGTTTCACCATAATCAAGACCTGGTTGTTGATGAAAACCATTTGCCACAAGACGAGCCTTAAACCGATCAATAGACCCATCAGACTTGCGTTTAAGACGAAAGACCCATTTATTTGGTAGTACATTCATGGTAGGAGTATAGGGTACCAAAGACCATGTGCCCGCACGTTGTAGGGCATTGAATTCATCAGCCATAGCTGTCCTCCATTCCTGAAATTTATTAGCTTGACTGTAGCATGTAGGTTCAGACATAGCAGTGATGGTGGAAGTATGGGCATACTTAGGGTTAGGTTTAGAAATGCCATCTTTTGCACGGGTAACCATATGATGGATAGTGGGGGGTGCTAGAGTGGATGGGGTTGTCGAAAGGGGAGGGAGAAGTGGGGTAGGTGGAAGTGACGTTACTGGAGGTGTGGAAATGGGGGGGGGGGGATAGTAGGGTATGGTGGGAGGAGGGTAAAGGTGAGGGGATATGAGAGGAAATAGGAGTCAAAGGGTGTGTGATAGAGACGGGTGAAGGAATGGGAGTGTCTGAAAGAGGGTTGGAATGGGTAATGGAAGTATGGGATAAAGTAGGATTAGGTGGCGAATTTGGGGGGGATGGAAAAGTGAGTTCAGGGTTCCCAAGAGTAATGGGATGGTTATCATGCAGAGAGGATGGTACGGGAGTAACACTGGGATTTTCATGAAGTGGAAAACAATTTTCATAAAAAAGAACATGTTTAGACATGAAGACACGACCGGTGCATGGGTCAAGGCACCTATACCCTAATTGATTTTGAGAATAACCTAAGAAAACACACTTTTTGGAACGAAAATGCAATTTTGTTGACATGTATGGACGTAGGTATGGAAAACAAGCACACCCAAAAACTTTAAAAAAATCATAGGATGGTTCTCGATGAAATAATTTTGTGTATGGAGAAGATAAGTTCAAAACTTTAGTTGGCAGGCGATTTATTAAAAAATTAGCAGTATGTAGAGCTTCAGCCCAATAGGTTTGTGGCATGGACGCATGAACAAGAAGAGTTAGACCAGTTTCAACCAAATGACGATGTTTACGTTCTGCCATACCGTTTTGTTCAGGATGGTGAGGGCATGTATATTGATGATGAATGTCATGTTTTTCTAAATAAGATTTGAAATTGTTGTTAATATATTCTCCTCCACCATCCGTTTGAAAAGTTTGGATTTTTCGTTGAAATTTATTCTCCATTTCAGTTTTAAATTTAATGAATGTGGAGAACACATCAGATTTAAGTTTTAAAGGATATAGCCATGTATATCGCGAAAAATCATCAATGAAAATCACATAATAACGAAAACCAGAAATTGACAAAGTAGGGGACGTCCATACATCTGAATGAATAAGTTGTAAAGGAAAATGGGAAATAGAATTTGATGGTAAAAATGGCAATTTCTTGCTTTTGCCCAAAGGGCATGAATGACAGACAGAATTAAAATGGTGCCTAGTAAGAGGCACTTTGCTAGTAGAAACTAAATGTTTTAAAATAAATGACGAAGGATGACCGAGTTTGGAGTGCCAAATACGATCATCAACCTTGACTCCCATGCACGAAAATAGTCCATGTCTTTTATTGAAATTAAAACTTGCATATGGATAAACACCAGTGTTACTCTGGCCTGATAAAAGGGTCCTCCCCGAGCGGATATCCTGAACACGGAAGAAATTAGGATGAAGGACAAAGAAACAGTCATTGTCAGAAGAGAACTGATTGATAGATAATATATTTTGAGAGGCATCAGGACAATATAAAGTATTAGAAAGAGGATAGGAGCTAGTGGGAGAGTGAATAAAAGATGTGCCTATTTGGGAAATGTGCAAACCTTGACCACCATGAACACCACCGACTTGATCTGTGCCTGTGTAGGGCTGTGCATTTGTAAGTTGACCAGGATCATGGGTAATATGGGTGTTGGCCCCAGAGTCCAGAAGCCATGTGGTGGGAGCAGGAGAGACAGACTGGGGTACACGGGTAGACTGGGCAGCAAGGGCTGTGAGACGAGCACTTGGAACACGACCTTCGTAAGACGTATTCATACGGTTGTAACAGTCAATGGCAGAGTGACCATTACGACGAAAAATCTGGCAGCGAAGGGGTGGGCGATCAGACGGTGAGGGTTCGGCACCAAGAATACCGTCATTGGGACGTCCTGGATTAGGAGCAGCAGCAGCATGGGGCCGAGCCTGATGTCCACCACGATAAGGAACAGCGCCACGGCCTCCGCCACGCGCAAAACC